TTTCTGCAACCACTTTTGAATGATCTTCAGCAAAATTTTACTTGTGTGTGATATTAATGATACTGTTTGGTAATTTCTGCTTTCTGTTGGATCACCTTTCTTTGGAATGGGCACAAATATGCATCTCTTCCAGTCAGTTGGCCAGGTAACTGTCTTCCAAATTTCTTTGCATAGATGAGTGAGCACTTCTAGCAATGCATCCGTTTGTTGAAACATCTCTATTGGTGTTTTGTCAATTTCTAGAACTTTGTTTTTCGCCAGTGCCTTCAGTGCAGCTTGGACTTTTTCCTTCAGTACAATTGATTCTTGATCATATGCTACCTTCTGAAGTGATTGAACATTGACCAATTCTTTTTGGTACAGTGACTCCGTGTGTTCCTTCCATCTTCTTTTGATGCTTCCTGCTTTGTTCAATATTTTGCCGTAGAATCCTTCAATATTGCAACTCAAGGCTTGAATTTTTTCTTCAGTTCTTTCAGCTTGAGAAATTCCTAGCATATTTTTCCCTTTTGGTTTTCCAACTCCCAGTCTTTACTCATTTCATTATAATACTTTACTTTGTCTCCTCGAGCCACCATTTGAAATCTTCTGTTCAGCTCTCTTACTTCATCATTTCTTCCTTTCCCTTTAGCTATTCTATGTTCAAGAGCAAGCTTCAGAGTCTCTTGTGACATCCATTTTAGTCTTTTCTTTCTTTCCTGTCTTTTCAATGACCTCTTGCTTTCTTCATGTATGATGTCTTTCCACATTTCGTCTGGTCTTTGGTCATTAGCGTTCAATACTTCAAATCTATTCTTGAGATGATTTCTAAATTCAGGTGGGTTATACTGAAAGTCGTAGTTTGGGTCTCGTCAACTTGCTCTAATTTTTTTCAGCTTTAACTTGAACTTGCATAGGAGCAATTGATGATGCTATGAGTTGGAATCAACTTGATGGCAATGGATTTTTTGGGTTAATTTATGGTTAGCTCTGCAGTCGGCTCCTGGCATTGTTCTGACTGATGATACTGAGTTTTTCCATCGTTTCTTTCCACAGACATAGTTGATTTGATTCCTGTGAATTCCATTGGGTGAGGTCCACATGGTTAGTTGCCTTTTATGTTGTTGAAAAAAGATATTTGCAATGAAGAAGTCATTGGTCTTGCAAAATTCTATCATGTGATGTCTGACGTCATTTCTATCACCAAAGCCATATTTTCCAGCCACTGTTCCTTCTTCTTTGTTTCCAACTTTCACATTCCAATCACTAGTAATTATCAATGCATATTCATTGCATGTTTGATCAATTTCAGACTACATAGGTTGGTAAAAATCTTCAAATTATTTACCTTTGGCCTTAGCAGTTGATGCATAAATTTGAATAATAGTTGTATTAACTGGTCATCCTTGTAGGCATATGGATGTTATCCTATCACTGACAGCACGCGTATTTCAGGATAGATCTTGAAGAGTTCTTTTTGACAATGAATGTGATGCCATTCCTCCACAATTTGTCATTCCTGGCATAGTAGACTATAAGATTGTCCGATTCAAAAATGGCCAATACCAGTCCATTTCAGCTCACTAATGCCTAGGATATCAATATTTATGCAGTCTGTTTCATTTTTGATGATTTCCAATTTTCCTAGATTCATACTTCATACATTCCACATTTCTACCATTAATAGATGTTTACTGCTGTTTCTTCTCATTTTAAGTCATGCCACATCAACAAATGAATGTCCCAAAGCTTGACTCCATCTACATCATTAAGGTTGACTCTACTTTGAGGAGGCAGCACTTCCCCAGTTGTATTTTGAATGCCTTCCAACCTGAGGGGATCATCTTCCGGCACTTTATAATGTTCCATTGCTATTCATAAGGTTTATCACTGGCTAATTTTTTTTCAGAAGTAGACCTCCAGGTTCTTTTTCCTAGTCTTTCTTAGTCTGGAAGCTTGGCTGAAACCTGTCCATCATGGGTGACCCTGCTGGTATTTGAAATACTGGTGGCATAACTTCCAGCATCACAGCAACATGCATGTCCTTGGTAAGGTGGCCAATACATTCAACTATAGCAGGGAGACATACTTTGTCTTCTGGATGCATTTACTATAACTATACTGACTTGAGATTTTTCTGCCTAGAGGTAGAAACTTGTCTTTATGTTGTCTTACTATTTTGCTCTTTATTTGTATTTTTTGGATATCCTTTCAGGTTGATAATTTGTTCACATTATATAGAGGTCTATGAGTTAGCTTTTAAAAAATCCTGACAATTTGAAATTTAACTGAACAAGGCAAAGATTATTCTTGCTTTCTTGATTTCGGAAACAATCTTACTTAGGAAAGCAAGTTTAAAGAGTTCAGTGTGATTGGTATCTACACAAAAATAATCTTTTAAAAAGAGAAATGGCAAACTTAACCTCTCATTTAGAATATGGCATAATAAATAAAGACTATTTCATTTCTTTCACTTAAAAATTCCTACTAGGTTCTAACAACATTTTCAGTGTATACTATTGACTTGTGGTATTGAGTTCCATATCTTTTTACTTGCTAGGTAAGGGGTTACTTCTCTTTATTTGCCTCAGATTCTGAAATCTTGAAATATCCCCTTATTCTAAAGTCTTTATTAGATTTGGTGACTAAATGTATATTTACTCTATCCATATCTTTTCATAATTTTGTAGATTTGGGATTTTTTTGTGCTTATTTTCATATGAAAACTCTTCAATGAGTTGAAGTGTTTCACAGTCTTCAAAAGCTCACGGTTATCTATAGCTGTAGAAATTTGACTATACATCGTCTCAATATGATTGCTTCTTATCTTGTTCAGGGTAATAATCAAAGCCTTTATAATAGTCGACAGAGCTCTACATAATCTGTGTTCATATCCAGGGACTGATGTAAGGGGAGTTTCCCTGGGATGTTTCCTGTGTCAGCTTTTATCTTACAAGAGATAAAAGAAGAGAGAAACAAGCAGATAGGGACCTCATTACCACCAACCAAGAAGATCCAGGAGTGGACCTTGTCCTTTATACTTAGCGTTCCTGCTCTGAGAAGCTCCTAAGCCAGGGGAAGGTTGACGACAATGACCTTACCTTATTGTCAACAAAGAAAGAAAGGCTTCCCCTGGAGATGGCACCCTGAATTTAAACTTCTAACCTGAACTGTGAGAGAATACATTTCTGTTTGTTAAAGCCATCCACTTGGGGTATTTCTGTTATAGCAACACTAGATAACTAATACAGTATGTGAACAGTTATTTTTTTTTATTTGTCTCAGACTCCCTTCTTAAAGCTTGAAATATCTCCTTATTCTAAAGTCCTTATTAGATTTGGTAATTAAATGTATATTTACTCTGTCAGTATCTTTCATAATTTTGTAGACTTGGTTTTGGTTTTTTGTTTTTTTTTTTTAGCTTATTTTCGTATGAAAACTCTCCAATGAGTTGCAGTGTTTCACAGTTTCGAAAAGCTCAGGGTCATCTGTAGCTCTAGAAATTTCACAATGCATCATCTCATACTTTCATAATCTAAATGATTCTCACAACTTCTGTTTCTCCCACCCTGATCTAAGCCATTATTGTCTTTTTTTTTTTTTTTGATTATTGCAATAGTTTCTAACCAATCTCCCTGATTTTATCCTTGAGTCTCTGAAGTATATTCACAATGCAGCATCCCAAGCGATCCCTTAACATTGTAAGCCAGATTTGTCACTCTTCTGTTCAAAACTCAGTTGTTTCTTATCTTTTTTAGAGTAATAACCAAAGTCTTTATAACAGCCTGCAAAGTTCTGCATAATCTGTGTTCATGCTGCTTCTCCAACCTCATCTTCCATATTCAGGTTCAGTCTTTCTTCTTAGTTGTTTAAACATGCCCAGTAAGCTCACACCTGAGACTTTGCTCTTGCTATTCTCTCTGCCTGCAATACTTACTCTTTCCCCAAGTACCTTCATGGCTTACTCTTTCACCTTCTTTAGATTTCAACTAAGTCAACTTATCATCAAGAACTTCTCTGTCAATCCTATTTAAAGCATTCTCCGTACTGCCCTATTTCCATTTCTTGCTTAATTTTTCTCCATGGTCAAATTATTATGTGACATATTTTATATCTATGTTTATTTTCTAATTGTCTCTTTCTGCCAAAATGTAAATTTATGAAGATAGGGATATTTTTCCTATTTTGTCCTTGGCTGTGTCCCCATAACTTAGACCGTTTTCTGGCACATAGTAGGTGCTCGATAAATATTTGCTGAATGCAAAGAATTATATATAGGAGCTACTTCAGCACTATCATTCATTCATTCAGCAATCATTACATGATCATCTAATATTTTCACGACATTGTGTGGGCAAACTATGGGGATAAAAATTTAAGGGCATGATGATTTATAACCTCGAGCAGTTTATAATCATGTGGGGAAAAGATACGTGACTAACTCTCAGGAAAGTAATTAAATGTGGATGTATAGGTGAGTCTTGAGGAAGGCTTGACAGATGATATGCCATTTGAACTGGACATTAAAGAATGAATACTATTTTGAGAAGTGTAAAAATAGAGAAAGATAATTTCTGGCTGAAGTTACAAAAGAAGAGATATAGAATCTTACAAAAGTTTTTGTCATATGAATAGTTTTTTTTGTCTGTGTAGTATATGTGATTGGTTATTACTCCTTCAGGAAGAGGATGGTTAACGTGGATCATACTGATACAGCAATTTAATATCAAATGTCATTTGTGGTTTTCTATCAAGTACACCATGGGTACCAGTTCATTAGACCACTCACTGTTCCTCGTGTTAGCAAAGCCACATGGCAACTCATTTACTGTCATATATAACTACAGCGTTAGTGGCCAAAGGATGTTATTTGATTTTTGTGACATGCTCAGGTGATATTTGACTTTCAAAATTTACTTACTTTTTATAGAGGGTATTAATACTATTAATTTGAATTTTCTCATTTGCTTCCTTTAGGTAACATGAGAGTGAATCTACCAAATAAGCCAACGAAGGTAACCAACCACAGATTAGTGTCTGAGTTTGTACTCCTGGGACTCTCCAATTCCTGGGAGATCCAGCTCCTTCTTTTTTGCTTTTCTTCTCTTCTCTATGTGTCCAGTATGATGGGAAACCTCCTCATAGTGTTCATTGTGACTGCTGACTCTTACTTACCCTCCCCCATGTATTTTCTGCTGGCTAACCTTTTTATCATTGACCTGATATTTTGCTCAATTGCAGCACCCAAGATGATCTGTGATCTTTTTCGGGAGAGGAAAGTCATCTCCTTTGGAGATTGTATAGCTCAGATCTTCTTTAGCCATACTGTTGGGGGCACTGAGATGGTGCTGCTCATAGCCATGGCCTTTGACAGATATATGGTCATATGTAAGCCTCTCCATTACCTCACCATCATGAGCCCACGGATGTGCATTTTGATTTTAGTGCTTTCCTGGACCATTGGCCTCATTCGCTCATTGATCCAGTTGTCTTTTGTTGTAAACTTGCCCTTTAGTGGTCCTAATATATTAGACAGTTTTTACTGTGACATACCTCAGCTCATCAAACTTGCTTGCACAGATACCTATAAACTGGAATTCATGGTCACTCTTAATAGCGGGTTCATTTCCTTGGGTGCTTTTTTCTTGCTTATCCTCTCTTACATCCTCATCCTAACTACTCTTCAGAAGCACTCCTCAGGTGGTTCATCTAAGGCTCTTTCCACTTTGTCAGCTCATATTACTGTGGTGGTTTTATTCTTTGGCCCACTGATTTTTTTTCTACATGTGGCCCTCTCCTTCAACACATATGGATAAATTTCTAGCCATATTTGATGCAGTTTTGACTCCTTTTCTGAATCCAGTCATCTATACATTCAGGAACAGAGAGATGAAAACAGCAATGAGGAGAATGTTTGGTCAGTTTATGGGTTGTAGAAAAATCATTTAAATGTCTTGACTGAAACATCACATTTCCAAATGACTGTGGTAAGTCCCTAATATCAATTCTCATTAATTTAATTATATTAATTATTCTCATTTTTAAATTATACATCACTTTGAGTACTCCTGGACATCCATTGGTTGGGTCATTTTTTTTCACATGGAAGAATGGATGACATTCTTCTCTGAAAAGAAAAAAGGACTTTTATACAAAACGCATAAAACCAAAACCAAACCAGTTGCCAACGAGTCAATTCCAACTCATAGCAACCATATAGGTCAGAGAAGAACTGCCCCCTAGGATTTCCAAGGAGCAGCTGGTGGATTTGAACTGCCAACTTTTTGGTTAGCAGCCAAATGCTTAACCACTGTGCCACCAGGGCTCCATAAAAGGTATATAAATAAAAAGATTATATTAACTCTTAACTTACAGTTCCCAAAGAAAAGTGCCAAGAATAACTTTTAGACATTTTAAATATGTAAGTTTATTTCTCAGAATTGTCATGTTATAGTTTTCATGCTGTCCTGGTCTATATGTTTCATTATCCATTTGCATCTCATATCTCCCTTTTTACTCTTTCTACTACTTTATCTCGACTCTTCGGTTATGGGTTACACTTAGCAATCATCTTTAGGATCTGTGGTCACTTCCATATTATAAACCACAAATTTCACTTTTATGCTTTGTTGGACAGTGTTTTATGTTTTATTTTCAGTCAAATAGATCAGATATCAGCAAAATTTTTCTATAAAGGGCAAGATTGTAAATAATTTTGTGTTTGTGGGGAATGTGCTCTCTGTTGCAAACACTCACCTCTATTATTGTAGTATGAAAATAGCCGTAGACAATATGTAAACAAATAGGCAGGGCTGCATTCCAATAAAACTTTATAAAAACAGTATGCAGAATGGATTTGAATTGATGTCTGTACTTTGTCAGCCTTGGAAGTAGATGGGGCCCAACATTTAGATTTGCCTTTTCCACCAAATATCATACTCTCTGTCTTAGACTATAAAAGGCAGTATAGTATAATGCAGATTTTGAAGTTAACACAGAGGTTCATGTTCCAACAGCACCAACTCACTTGCTGTGTTATCTTACCCAAGTCACTTGTTGTTGTTGTTAACGCCATAGAGTCAGTTCTGACATCACAGTGACCATATGTACAACAGAACAAATCACTGCCTGGTCCTGTGCCATCCTCATAATCGTTGCTATATTTGAGCCTATTGTGCAGCCATTGTGTCAATCCATCTTGTTGAGGGTCTTCTTTTTCACTGACCCTTTACTTTAGCAAGCTGATGTTCTTCTCCAGGGACTGTTCTTCCTGATACCAAGTCCAAAGTACGTGAGACAAAGTTTTACCATCTTCACTTCTAAGGAGCATTCTGGTTGTACTTTTTCCAAGTTACATTTTTTCATTCTTCTGGCAGTCTATGGTATAGTCAATATTCTTCACCAAAGCCATAATTCAAAGGCATCAATTCTTCTTTGGTCTTCCTTATTCATTGTCCAGCTTTTGCATACATGTGAGGTGACTGAAAATACCTATGACTTGGGTCAGGTGCACCTTAGTCCTTAAAATGATATCTTTGCCTTTTAACACTTGAAAGAGATCTTTTGCAGCAGATTTGCCCAATGCAATACGTCGTTTGATATCTTGACTTTTGCTTCCATGGAACGTCATACATGAAGAAAGCAAAAGGTCATTAAATAGACATAAAAGAAAGAAAAGACCAAAATGGATGTCCGAAGAGTCCCTGAAACTTGCTATTGAACATAGAGTAGCTACAGCAGATGGAAGAAATGACGAAGTTAAAAATCTGAACAGAAGATTTCAAATGGTGGCTCAAGAAGACAAAATAAAGTATTATAATGTAATGTACACAGACCTGGAGTTAGAAAACCAAAATGGAAGAATAGGTTCAGCATTTCTCAAGCTGGAAGAAGTGAAGAAAAAAAATTCAAGCCTCCAGTTGCAGTTTTCAAGGATTTTAAGTGCAAAATATCGAATGACACAGGAAGTACCAAAAGAAGATGGAAGGAATATATAGCATCACTCTACCACAAACAAGTAGTCGACATTCAACCATTTTAGGAGGTACCATATGATCAAGAACAGATTGTACTGAAGAAAGAAATGCAAGCTGCGCTGAAGGCACTGGTTTAAAACAACCAGTAACAAGGGAATACCAATTGAGACGTTTCAACAAACGGATGCATGGCTGGAAGAACTCACTTGTCTATGCCAAGAAATTTGGAAGGCAGCTACCTGGCCAACTGAGTGGAAGAGTTCCATATTTGTGCCCATTCCAAAGAAAGATGATCCAAAAGAATACAGAAATTACCAGAAAATATCATTAACATCACACACAAGTAATTTTTTTATTGTACTTTAGATGAAGGTTTACAGAACAAACAGTTTCTCATTAAATAGTTAGTATTCACATATTGTTTTATGACATCAGTTAACAATCCCACGACGTGTCAACACTCTCCCTTCTCTACCTTGGGTTCTCTATTATCAGCTTTCCTGTTCCCTCCTGTCTTCTAGTCCTTGTCCCTGGGCTGTTGTGCCCCATTAGTCTCATTTTTTTTAATGGGGAAACACACAAGTAAAATTTTGCTGAAAATCATTCAAAAGTGGTTGCAGCAACACATTGACAGGGAACTGCCAGAAATTCAAGCTGGATTCAGAAGAGGGATGTGGAATGAGGGATATCATTGCTGATGTCAGATGGATCTTGGCTGAAAGCAGAGAATACCAGAAAGATGTTTATCTGTGTTTTATTGACTATGCAAAGATATTCAGTTCTGTGGATTATAATAAATTATGGATAATACTGCAAAGAATAAGAATTCCTAAACACTTAATTGTGCTCATGTGGAACCTGTGCATAGATCAAGAGGCAGCTGTTTGAACAAAACAAGGGGATACTGTGTGATTTAAAGTCAGGAAAGGTATGTGTCAGGGTTGTATCCTTTCACTATACTTATTTAATCTGTATGCTGACCAAATAATTTGAGAAAATGGTCTATATGAAGAAAAACATGAGGAAAAACACAGACTATGGTGACATAAAATCTCCCCTTCAATAGACTTCTAAAGCCCTGATTATTTCATCTGTAGCTATTCCTATATTATCATGCCAGTAATTTCTAACCACAGGAACATGTAAACATTCTGGCAAGATGAGTTTTTTATTTGGCTCAATCCACAATCCTGTGGTTGGATCTTGATTATAGCTGGCCTGTTCCCATTCTCTAATCTCCCCAGAGGAACCAATTTTTGGTACTTGAAAAGAGATTCTGAAGTTTCTTTTGGGTCAAACTTTGGTGGGCAACATTTTACAGATGCCATATTTACAGGTGTCCTGTTTTATTATTATTATCTGTTCCCTCCTTTTAATTATGATCAAAAGTGGAATTATCATGGTCATGAATGAGAGTCACACCTTTAAAGAGTGATTGGGAATAGACTTATTTAGGTGCTCTGTCAGCTAAGTTGTTCCTTTTAATTTCTTCTGTTCATGGAGCTCCTTTGGGTTGATGGATCTGGATTTTAATTACAGTAATTCTCAGAGGGGAGCAAAAGGGCTTCTAAGAGGTTGCTAGTAAGTGTCCATTTTTATCTGAGTCCCAGAAGGAGTTAGGAAGTGGTCAAGAACTCAGCTGCTAACCAAAAGGTCAGCAGTTGGAATCCACCAGCCGCTCCTTGGAAATCCCATGGGACAGTTCTACACTGTCCTTTAAGGTCACTGTGGGCTGAAATCGACTTGATGGCTACAGGTTTGGTTGGTTTTTTGGTTTTGTTTTCATAACATGATAAAATCATGAGTAACTACACAAACATACCTAGAGTCTGAAAAATATTTACTGACAGTTCAGAAGCCTCTTTGTGAATGCAATTAGTTCAGCTTGCTGAGCTGAAGTGACTTTAGGAAGGGTACCACTTTCAAGGACCTCAGCTGAGGTAGTCACAGCATATCCTCCCTGGTAATGAGAGCCGGTAGGTTCAGGTTTTAAAAATGACCCATCAACAAATAGAACTAAACCAGGATTCTATAACAGGGTTTCTTGTAAATATGGTCTAGGAGACAAAAGCTGTTCAGTAAGATTTAAACAGTCATGGGGTAGATGGTCATCATTATTAGGTAAATGTAACAATGTAGCTGGATTCAGAAATGTTATAGTACATAGCCCAATATTAAGAAGCAGCCAAAAGGAGAACTTTGTAAGAAGTCAGACTCCTGGCTGACAGGTGTTGAGTAAGTGTTGAATTTAGAATGGCTGACACTGCATGAGGGACATAACCATCAAGAAAATTTCCTAGAATAATATCTACTCTGGTCTTACCTAGTCTTGTGGTTGCAGTGAGTGCTCTAAGGCAAGGGGGGTAAGCTCTTGTGACGGGGTCCAACTGGATGCTATAATAACCAGTGAGTCTCAGTTGTCCTCCGTGTTTTTGAGTGAGGATTCCTAGAGCATTTCTAGTAATCTCGTGGACAAAAAGTGAGCAGTGTAAATTATAATTAGGAAACCCCAGAGCAGGAATATTAATTAACGCTTGTTTTAATTGAGTGAAGGCCTTATGGCCATCCTCGGATAGCTTGAAGGGGTCAGGCTCTGAACTCTTTAGATAATGATAAAGAAGTAGAACCAGCAAAGAAAAATTAGGTATCCAACTTCTGCAACAGCCACCAAACTCAAGAACGCATTGTCACTATCAGTACTATTAGCATTATCAGCAATGGATTTTTGGGTTTGGTGGCTATTGCAGAACTTGGATATCTAATTTTTCTTCGCTGGCTCAACTTATTTACCATTAAAGAATCCTAGAAATTCTCTTAACTGGTTCTTGGTAGTAGGGACAGGATAAACTAAGATGGTCTCTTTTCTTTTGGGGCCTACACTGACACCTTTTTAAAAATATATCCCAACTACTTAACAAAAGGTTGGGCTAACTGCAACTTTTCTCTGAGGCTTTGTGACCTCCTTTGGCCAAA